AACACTGTGGGCTGGTTGAGAATACATGACATCTCAGCTTCACGCCTTGACATTTACACCCTCTCCCCCAGGCCAATCAGACTCAAGGCCCAAGTTCCGCAGCCAATCAGCTGAGGGGGGGGGGATGCTTCACTGGCTGGTCAGCACCAGAGCTATAGCCAATCAGCGTCTGCCTCAGCACGAAGCGCACTGAGGTTGTGCACGCGCTGGTGGCCTCGAGCCCCCGGCCTTGCGTTGAGCCCTGCTTCCTAACGGTCAGTTCTGGCCTGTGCTGCCCTCAAAGTGGGTGAGGTTGATGTGGGAGGAGACCGAACTGGTAAGTGCTATGGCTTTTCTTCCTTTTTTTTCTTTGATATTGGGCCTAGCCCAGAGAATGCTAGGTCTAGGGTGGGGGTGTCCTTAAGGAATATTGTTGAGGATCAGAGTGGTTTTAGGTCGCATGTGTCTCTTCGTCACTTTTGGGCCCAGGCCGAGCAGGTGACGCAGCATGCTCTCTGACTTTTGTTCATGGTCCCTGAGGCCAGCTTAGGCTGAATTGGGTAAACAGGGTGCCTCCAACTCTGCCTGGCTCTGGTAACTGGAGGGAGAGGCTTGTGGTTCGCTGGTGTGCACGTGAAGGGAAGCTTTGGGGTCTTTGGACCCAGCTCATATTGGAGTCAGTGTTCGTGAGGTTAAAAGCCTACTGGGAAACTGTCAATAGCCATTTTCCCAGGCTACCTATATGTTTTACTGCAATAAGGTTGAAGTGCTCAAGAGTTTTCAGCATTGTGTGTAGGCTGGGCATGTGACCAGGATGTTTGGCCTGTGGTTCTCTGGGGGTTCTGGGAAGGGAGCCTCTAAACCCCACTCAAGCCTGTGGCCCAATAGGAATGAATACTTCCCTGATGGGATCTGTGGCATGAGCTATTAGCACGGAGCAGGTATAGCAGTTGTGCTGGCCCGGCAGCGAGAGCTGCGTGAGCTCCTCTGAGCTGTAGGAAATCATCTTGACTGGTGACCTTTTATTTTGGTTTTTTGAGACGGGGACTTGCTATACGTTCTTAGTCTGGCCCCAATCTTATGATCTTCCTGCCTCAGTTTCCGGAGTGATAGAATTCTAAACGTGCGTTCCCACTCCTGGCTCACGGATGGTTTTGTTTTACCCTTGCGGGACAGTGTCTTGACACCTAGTTTCCCTTGGCTGTTGAGCGGTGTTAAAGTTCTCAGAGTACTTCAGAGTACACCCAGGCTGTAGGTATGGAAGGCAGTCCCATGACTGGGCTTCCATGGTCTGTTTGCTCTTGGAAATCGTAAAGAAATGTGCGCACATGTATGTATTCAGTGAAAGATGATGGAAATATTAGCCTGCACAGGCATGGGTTTCAGAGCAATCTATGGGATGTGTTATTTATTTACATGTAAAATGGTATGAGTATCTAAAATGTTCAATGTCAAAGGGCTGCTCCTATATCTGGAAGGTGAGCTCCTGGGAGGCTAAGAATCACTGGAATAAAACAGACTCCTGTACTTTGTATGGATTCTGGGCAAGACCACAAATTACCCATTTTTCCCATGCTTGCTGTTGACCTCATTTTAAATCTAATTTATTAATAATAATAATAATATTTTTTGAGATAGGTTTTCTCTGTGTAGCCCTGGCTGTCCTGGAGCTCACCCAGTATACCAGGGTGGCCTCAAACTCAGAGATCCTCCTGCCTCTGCTTCCCAAGTGTTGGGATTAAAGGAATGTGCCACCACCCAGCGCTGTCTATGTATATACAGTATATGTCAGTTTCATATGCTAACTTGCACATCCTCCACTCAACAGAGGCCCTGAAGTATGCATCTGTTCACAGTCCACTCTCATGAGTGGACAGTTGCGGTCTTTGTGGGTTTAGCATTATTTGGTCCAGTAAACTCTGGGCTCTGAATTCCCAGATTGTAGTCTAGGGATGTATGAGTGAGGTTATATAGGGTTCTCTCAGTATCCAAGTGGGCACTTCCTCGATCCCCTTGGACTCTTCAGCCTACAGGGGACAAAGCCCAAGAAGGCCAGAGTGAGTCCCTCTACTTGGGTTTAGGTGAATATGGATATTTGGTCCTCGTCTTGAAGCAGTCCCCATAAGGAGGCTGAGGTTGTGGGGCGAGGTTAGCCTTACAGTGAGACTGAAAAAAGGATTGTGAAGACTCAAGGTGCCCATCATTTCTGATGGCTGCTCCCATTCCTTCGTCACCTGATCCACCTGATCCTGTGTGTGCTATCACAGGGGCTTCCCTGAGCGTCAACTGTATTCTGTTCTCGTGTTATGCTGAGTGCAAGTATTCTTTTTCTTCAATTTAGCCCTGTGTGATGGTTTAAGGGAAGAAAGGGATAAATTCACCAGGTGTCTCTCTGCTCTGGTATGTGTGGGGTGTATTTGACTCGGGTGAGCAGCTCAGACGTTCTCAGATTTGGATAATTGGTGTTAGTATGTGTAAACACTGTGGAGCACTTGGAAACCTTAATCTAGGGTAAAATGTGCTCCTGGGAAGATTCCTGCTCTAACAGAATTTTTCTAAACCGAACTCTGTTCAGCTTGGCTTGAGGCGTGGACTCAGTGTTTGAAACACACGAGACAAAGGGAGGTGTGATACCTGCACTCACAACTCTTGGGAGGCTGAGGTGGGAGAACTGACAGACCAGCCTGGACTACACAGTGAGAGTGTTTGTCTCCAAACAAAGAAGGGTGGGGGAGGACAAAAAGAACATTTTCCACGAAACAACCACCCCTGGCATATTGTGATAGTCTAAATTTAATTGTAATATTTAAACAGAATCAATATTTATGTGACTTTGATGGCTCGTTACATTGAGCTGGGTTTGCATTACAATACAGTGGTTTATAGAAGCTTTGGTTTGGGATCACCTCAACACGGGTTCTCTTTACTGTCATTGGCCAGTTCTATTACTAGGAATAAAATTGTCAGCCCTCAAGTTTGATTCCATAATATGGGTATTAAAGAGAACAGAGAAAGCTGGGTATGACTTTTTTTTTTAACATTGAAAAGACATTCATTACCTCGCCATAAATTATGAGGCAATGGGTAGGGTGGGGTGTGCCCAGCAGTCACGTTTTGGGCATCTGCCCTTTTTCTCTTTCTTCTTGGGCTTGTACTTGGAGTTCCTCATCTAGGTGTTCCTTTGCATGGACAAACTTTGACTGCAGGTAGGAACCACCCACGGATTTGTCGTTCACTTTAAATAGGTGTTCATAATTCTTCTGGCTCTGCTCAGGGTTCAGCTTGGAGATGTTGAGAATCTGCTGGACCTCTTAGAGGCTGAGGCCAGAGAGGTTGGATGTGGCTGCAGACTGGTGCCCAGAACAACCCTGAGCATCAGCAACTGCCTGGCTTGCTGCAAACTCCTGCCTCAGGGCCCGGACAAAGGCTCTGCCCATCACCTGCACACCCATCACAATGATCTTGGCCAGGTACTTAGCCATGGCGACCGCTCCACCTCAAGGGCACAGTTGCCTCTTCCCAACCCAGTGGGACCAGCTCATATAATGGCTCATTCTTAGAACCCAGCACTTGGGAGGCTAAGGCAGAAAGATTTCCATGAAGTCATCCTGGGTTATAGAATGAGTTTCAAGTCAGCCTGGGCAATAGACCTTATCTCAAACAACAAAATCAAATTAACAACAAAACAGTGAGACAATCATGCCTCCCTTCCCCACATATTTCTCTTCCGATCATATGTTCAAATCTATCCGCGTTAGGCTCTGCCTGGCCACAGGCTGTGTCCTCCTGACCTGAGGTTTCCTGACTCTATCTCAGGGTGAAGGTAGCAGACGATGCTCTCTGCATGAGCCTGGGAAGCAGAAAATGGGGACATTTTTTGTTGTTTCATTCAATGTTTCACGTTGCTCAGGCTGACTTCAAACTCATGATCTTCCTATCTCAGCTTCCTGAGTACTAGGATTACCAGCAAGAGCCACTTTTCTCAGAGAAAGGAGACATCCCAAGAACAATAAGTCAGGTTATAAATCGGAGGCCAGATGCAGCAGGTAGGTTAGTTTGGGAAAGGATCAAACTTGAAATTGCCCCTCAGAGCTTGGTGGTGGTGGCACACACCTTTAATTCCAGTACTTAGGAGGCAGAGGCAGGTGGATCTCTGTGAGTTTGAGGTCAGCCTGGTCTACAGAGTGTTCCAGGACAGCCAGGGCGACACAGAGAAACCCTGACTCAAACAAACAAAAATTTCCTAGAGAAGTACTTCATTAGGAGAGATAGTTTCCATGTGCAGCATGAACAGAAGTCTTGAAAAGTCATCTGATCCCAGAGAATTTTTCTGAAGGTTTTTATGAAGTAGCAGTTTTATGCCATGTGATTTAGTCGAGCGAGATCCGTGTGACCCTTGGCATTACATGGAGCCAGGTATTGGATAGCCTTATATTGCAATTGCAAGGCGGAGGGGCTGCAAGGCCACAGAACAGCAGGGCTTCTTAACTGTGTCCCAGAGAGGTGGAAAGCAGCAGGGAGTGGGGCTAAGGCAGCCAGAGGGTCTGTGATCTAACAGTAGTGTCCCTACTCTTGCAAGTCAAAGTGCCCGCTGTAGGATCTGTTTCTGTTGCCATTGTTTAATGCCCAATGACTAGGATTGCCCTTCTGTGGCTGTAGGAAGAGGCTAGGGAAGGACCTCAAGTGTCATCAGCATAAGGACTCGGGTTCAAAGGGCCCTGAGACTACTTCTAAGGGCTCTCTAAGGGGATAGCCTTACCGTGGGTAGACACCAAGTGGGAGGCAAGATGGGGTTTCCTATTCTTAGGGGGCTTTCATTTACTCAGTGGGGCGTCCCCTTGCTCTTTTCTCCCTTTCAGTGCCCTGAAAGCCCACTGTCACTGCCCGTCAACTATCATTGCTTACAGAGATACTTTGAGCAGCTCCCATTTCTTGGTCATCAGTGGGTAATGCATACTAGTGGGGCAGCTGAGTCACTGGCGGGGGGAGGGGAGGGGCTTCCTCCTGTGGGTGAAGAAGCTATCGCCAGACCCCAGTACCTGTCCCTCTACCACTGTGGCTTTGTACCACTTCTTGTTTTTAGAGACTGTGTGTTTTCGTATTGGAGAAGGTTTGTGTGTTTGCACGCCTATCAGAAGGATTGGCATTCTGGGTGTCTTTTACATAGAAATATCTAATGTGTTCCCAAGTGTGTGAGGTTAGGAATTAGAAAGCTCAGAAATGGAAAATATTTAACATTCGGGGAGCAGATGAACACAAGGTTGCCATTTGCATTTTCCCTTTCGCTCTGACTCATCTTCCCCTATCTCCACCCTACTGCCCCTTCACCAGCCTCACCCACCGACACACCCTGTCTGATCTAGGAGGGGCTGACACCTGCCTGCATCCAAGCTAGAATGGGAGGGAGAGCATCCTAGACCTGGAAGGAGAGAGTGGTAGAAGGCTGCTCTGAATAACCTTGGACTGGGGCCAAAGGGAGAAAAGCAAACCTTACCTTATTGGATCTAGGAGGGGACTGGAATCTAGGGAGAAACGTATGGGGACTCAGACTGATTCTTGTCACTAAAGCAGTCTATCAACGACTGGCTAGTTTCTCTCCCAGTTAGTTACCGCATTTATGTGACATACCAGACACATACCACAGATATCCGGAAAGAAGTGAATATGAAGATCAGCTGAAGGATCAGATTAATAGAATGGGAGAAAAAGAAAAGCAAGAAAAAGATAAAGTCTCATTTATCCCTTCCTCAAATTTAAGAGTGCCAAAGCTGGGTGTGGTGGCTGTGGTGGGGCTGCCTGGCTGAGGCAGGACAGAGATTTCAAGGACATCTTAAACTACACAGGAAGAGGAAGAGAGAGGGAGAGACAGAGAGAGAAAGAGAGAGAGAGGCTAAAATTGTGAAGAGACGGAAATCTCCAGGGACCTTGACCCCTTTAGTAGAAAATGAAAGAAGCCCCTGGTTTTGATTTCAGAGAAATGTCATTTGTCATCAGCCCAGGAAAAGATTTCTCTCATCGAAGACCACCACAGGCTTCCTGGGGCTACCCCCTCAGAGTCTGCTGGGAGGATCTGAGTCACACAGACCCGGTCCTTGCTGTGGTCCAGAGGACAAGGGTCAGCCTACAGAATAAGAGGAGCTCAATGAACTAAGCCAGAGAGAAGGGACGAGGCTCAGCCTCTAGTTCCCTTCTGCTTCAAATTCCGCTTCTGTCCTTATTCTTCTGAGGTGTCAGAAATGGTCTTCAGCTACTCCCTGCGACTGTCACCTCTAAGACACAGAAGTAACAGCAGCTAATGCTGGCCTGTATGCGCAGAGCACTTCCTTATGCCTGGCTCTTCACCCGCGCCTCCACCTTGGAAGGACATCACTGAGATGAGATGCGTGAGGTGACAGAGGCTCAGATGACTTGCCCAAGGTGACTCAACTAGTAAATGGCAGAGATGAGGCTCAGCCTCTAACTTTTCCAAAGTGCCTGTCACTAGAGGCTCACAACTTTGACTATAAGGAACCCACAGTAAGAGTTACTTCTGTGTCTTAGAGGTATAAGGCCACACCCCTTTGGGGGACTGTGGCAGACTGATACTTGGGATGACTGAGGATGGGGTGGAGCTAGCTGGAGGTGGGGGGCAGGAGCCCCAAGAGCAGTAGAGAGCATGCGGTGCCAGGAGGCAGCTACAGAGGTGAGTGACTGTCTCTCCCCAGCTGAGCCTTTTCACCATTTCTGTCCACTCCCTGCCATCCCTCACCCCAAGGTGTCCATGTATAACCCCTCCCTCCTATAGGGCTCCTTAGTCATGGAGGGTCTGCACATAGGAGGGCTAGACCTGCTAGGTGCTAAGACACTTGGGCTATTTCTCAATGTCCACCTCCAGCATTCTGGGAGGCCTGTGTGATGGTTTTGTATGCGCTTAAACTCCTGACTGGTTGGGCTCTTTCTGGTCTTCCATTTTTTGGCTTATGAAAAATAGAAATCAAGCCATTCCTTAGCCTCATTTTGAGAGGAAAGAGCTTCCCATTCTCCAGTTTCCCTTTCCTCTTTCTCACTTCCACAGGCACCAATGCCTTCTCTAAACTTGTGGCTCTTTCAGCTCACTGGATGGGAATCTCTGGTCTTCCTAATCCCTTCTCTGAGGATGTGTTCTAGAAGCTTCAGCCTCAGAGAGTGATGCCCTAGGGTCTGCGCTCCTGAGGTGTAACCTGTCTGCTACCTTCCCAGGCTTTCTGGGCTTACAGTGGGGGAGGACCCACAAGCTTTTTGAGTTTCTTCATTAACTTACACTTTACTCCATTCATAAATGCCAAGTTTTGTGTGAAGTGACGCTTCTCAGAGGGTTTCCCCTGCAAAAGAGCCCAGGGAAGCAAACGTCTTTAATCTGAGTTGCTATACTTCATACCTCTGCTAACTGCCTGGCTCTTGCTCCCTAGGCCCCAGTGTGGATTCTCCTGCTGCTGCATTCCCACAGCTTGCCCTTGACTTAGTTTATCTGACTCATTCAGGATAGATAGCCCAATCTGAAACCAGAGACTCACTCACTCTTTCTCCCTTCCGCTCCACAGGCCTGAATATGCGATTTCTCCCTCCCCTTTCGGCCATGGACCCCACATTGTGACTTTTCTTTTAGAGCCTCTGAAACTGGTAGATTAGCCAGGAGCAATGCCCCAGACCCCCACAAGAATAACTAGCCCCTATGGCTCTGATAGGTTGGTGCAGTTAGCCGCAAGGCTTCGGCCTGCACTGTGTGACACCCTGATCACTGTAGGGGGCCTGGAGTTCCCTGCTCACAGTCTGGTGCTGGCAGGAGCAAGCCCAAGGCTGGGTTGCAGGGGCCGGTGGGCTCTGGTTGAAGGCATCAGCCCATCTACCTTTGCTCAGCTTCTGACCTTTGTGTATGGAGAGAGTGTAGAGCTACAGCCTGGGGAGCTGGGGAACCTGGAAGAGGCAGCCAGAGCCTTGGGAGTGCAGGCCCTGGAAGAGGCATGCAAGCAAGCTCAAAGGGATAACAATGAAGACGAGCTGGATCCAGGACCGAAGAGGCACCATGAGTCAGAAGAACTCATGAGGAGTTCTGAGAGAGGACTGGGGGGCCCTGGAGAGAAACAGACACCAGAGAAGGATTTTGGACGTAATGAGGGAGGACAGGAGACAATACACAAGCGCAAAGCCCCCAGGGAGAGCCCAGAGATGGCAGCGGTAACTAGGAAGAGATCAGAGGAGGCCCTCAGTCCAGTCTTGGTGGGCTCCGGGGTAGCAGAGAGGAAGCAAGGAGAGGCCATGAGAGGTTTAGAGAGCCCCGAGGGCTCTGAGGAGTGTCTTCGTGGGTGCTCTGGTCCCCTTTCCTCACCAGGTTCCCTCCTAACCAGCCTTATTCCCAGGCCCTGTTGGGCTGAGGCCCCTTGGTTGGGGGAGGGCCAACCTGCCCTGTGGAGCATCTTCCTGTGGCCTCCCAGATATGGCGCTCCTTTCTCCCTTAGCACCCCCATCACTGCATCCTGGCAGGTCTGGCCTCAAGACCAGAGGTGAGTGAAGAAGGACTTAGTGGAAGATCTAGGCTGGGAGGGAGTAGCTCAGGAGAGGTAGCAGTAATGTGTGGGAAGGCACCACATCTCCACATTTCCTGAGTTAAGGAGACAACAAAATATTCTGGTCATGAGAGAGGCTGGAGCTGGTTAGGTTCTCAGGCTTTGCCAAGGCTATCATTCTTCTCCATCCAGGATCCCACTGACCTTGAACCACTCCAAAGGTCTTTGGAGTCAGAATCGGCAGCCCTCCTCCAGCCCCACTCCAGGTAAGCCCCTTCCTGTTCCACCCAGGGCTTCCGGAGAGCCCCTGGGCTCTCGGAATCCGGCCTTAGCAGCGCCCCTACTACATTCTGCTTGCAGGATCCTTTCCCCAGGGCCCCGAACAACTCAGCCCTTGGGAGATAGAGGAGTCTGGGCAAGGGTACACAGGTAAGCAGGGTAAAAGAACTGCTGCCTCTGCCCCTCCCAAGCGCTCAGCTTGCCTGGATGGATGGATTCAGCCTCAGGGATTCTGGTCATGCCATTTTGACTTCTTTGTCCACACAGGCCCACTGGCAACCTGTGTGGGTCAAGAATGCACACTGAGCTGCCCGTCTCACCAACACCCTCCTTTACCCCTCCCTGCTCGTTCTCGGCCCTATTCTTGCTCTGTCTGTGGAAAGAGGTTTTCACTCAAGCATCAGATGGAGACGCATTACCGAGTCCATACAGGTATGGACTGTGTGAATTTGTCTTTTTTGCTCCCATCGCTGGTCTGCCAGCTCCTCCCTTGCCCCATTGCTTGACGCTCCCCTAGCTTGGCCAACCTTCGCCCATTTCTTCCTTCTTTGGCTTTCTCCACCTGTAGGAGAGAAGCCCTTCTCCTGTAGCCTCTGTCCTCAGCGCTCCCGGGATTTCTCTGCCATGACCAAGCACCTGAGGACACATGGGGCTGCTCCCTATCGCTGCCCTCTGTGCAGTGTTGGCTGCCCCAGCCTAGCTTCCATGCAGGCGCACATGCGTGGCCACTCGCCCAGCCAGCTGCCGCCTGGATGGACCATACGCTCCACCTTTCTCTACTCTTCCTCAAGGCCGAGTCGGGCCTCGATCTCTCCCAGGAGTCCTACCTCCTCCTCTGGCACCTGACCGGGTATTGATAGCTTCTCTGGCTTGATAAGTGTCCAACCAAAGAATGAAAGGCGGGCCCTGTCTCTAATGCCACCTGGCTAATTTGTCCCGCAGAAGCGCTGCAGGACAGGAACCAGGAACCCTCTCTGGATGCGCGTGGGTTGCGGAAGTCTCGGCTGACTAGAGAGTCCGAGTTAAAGACATTTTAGTTGGTTGGAGTAAAGACTAACTGGGGACTATTAATTTCATCACTATAATAAAGAGTTTTTTTGTGCTGTTCAGTCAGGATGAGTCCAGAATTTTCGTCTGCGCCGGGGTGGATGGGTGGTGGTGGTGGTGTGTCCAACCCTTGCCCCTTGTCCTGTAGCGGCCCCTGCTGGGCATTCACACACTAAACAGAGAGTCAGGCATTTCATTTCCGGGGACTCAGTATAATTCCCGAGGGCAGCACGCCGCAAAGGCACTACAGACCCTGGGGGACGGGGAGGGTGGCCTCCAAGGCTCTGGTCCCTTCCACAGCAATGCACCGCGCACGTATTCCAGACTGGAGAGGAGCGCAGGCTCAGGTCGTGGTTTCAGGTACCCGTCTGCTCTCCCTGAGAGCAAGGGACGGGGGACCAGCCTCTTGAGCATCTCCCCTCCGCGCCGTGCAATGCGGCTACCCGATAGCGCCTAGAAGTGAACGCCACCGCCCTTCCCTCAGCCCACGCCTAGCGCATTAGCGAACTTCGTTTGCCGGTGTCGGTCGGGTTCCCAGGGTCCGACGCCCGCGGTACCCTGGGAATAGTAGTCTGTGCAGGCCTCTAGTGCCGACTAGAACAATGGGAGGAGTCTGAACCGGGGACCACACCTCCTCGAGACCAGGAACTGGCTCTGCTGCTCTCCATCGCTGACCCCGTAGTCCCAGTTCTCGCGCCCTAGCTGTCGGCGGAAGAAGCAAGGCCGTCTGGACTACATTTCCCAGAGGTCCTTGCGCCTCCCGCTCTCAGGCCGCGACGCGGGGTTCGCTTTCCAGGTGTGGTCTGAGCGTGACGGCCGACCGGCCCGGACTCCTGCTCCCGTGGTGCCCCGCGCGTGGCCAGCCCAGCCCCCCTCCTCCCTCCCCCTCCCGGGCTCCTGCCCGCCCCACAGCGGCGCTAGTTGTTGTCGTGAGCCGCAGCCGCCCCGCTTCGCCCCTCCCCTGCTCCCCTCC